TCCCCCGTGGCTCCTCATTGCCCGAAGCATCACCGGCCAGCATCAGTGGGTACAGCGCGTCTTAAAAATGCTGGAGATGTTGCGTTTAAAGATCATAATTATCATTGTGCGCGGCTCCGGCGAAACTGAAAACCTGGAAAAAGTCAGAGCTTTTGAACATAATGTCTCAGAGGATTTAAATTGAGGTGGGAGGGAAAAAAAGTTTATGAGAAGAGAAGATGCGCAAGAACCCATCTTTCTGTGCAGTGTTTCCATATTCAAGGTCAGAAACAAGCCATTCAACTGGGACACTTTGAAGGAAGTTATATAAAACTGGTCTGTTATAAAATTAAACAAAATTAATAATACATCACATATTGTGAAAACCTCCAACATCTTTTCATATTTATTTTACATTTATGGAGTAGTATTTATTTTGCATTTTAGAAGTAGCAAATACTGGGTTTTGTATCATGTACTCTGCATTATAAATATACTTTTCTACACAAATTTTTGGGGGATGATTTCTGTAACGATTTCTCGGTAGAATTCCTCCATTTCTAATCTGCCTGTAATCTTCTTACCAAGAAAAGTTACATTTATCCTGTAAGCTTTGATCATGAATGCATTCACAGCTGAGTTTTTCGAAAACGCACGTGTCGAACCTCCTCCAAACCACTCACTGGTCCCCAGTTCCCTCCGTCTGACCGTGAGGCGCTGGCGTGGACGGGGCCAGAGTGAGGCGTGATAGCTCCGAGGCACAAGGCCACTATTAAAATTATAATTTACCGGCAGGGTCAGGATATATAGCACCTGAAACACAACCCCAACCTCCCTAACACCCCTTAACAACCACACAGACTTACAAAAGAATATTTGATGTGGATTCTGCGGGTGTGTGTGTGTGTGAGCCTGAACTCTAAAGAGAATGGTAAATTACTTCAGCTGTGCCTATTTTTTCTTTTTTTTTCCTTGCAGTCTTAACCGTGTCAGACTGAGAGACCTGACAACACATTATTCTTCCCTACGGCTATGATTGGAGGTTGGCCTATGTTCGCATCCAGGCTCCAATAAATAAATGAATGAATGAATGAACGAATGAATGAATGAAAAAGTAAAGCAGTGCTACGTAAATGTGTCGAAACTATCGCAGTCACGTATTGTTCCCTGATGTTTATTGCGCCCGTTCTTTGGAATCACTGCAAAACGTGCTCCATCGTGACGGCATTTCTAAGCGTGATGAGTCCTGTCGTACTGTTTCTGAATTCGTGTCCAGAATAATAAAACGTGCAAGCCAAAAAGCATTGGACTCTGGTCATTATGGGAACATCTTCAAACACCAAGCACTGGCCCCCTGCATTGACATAGAAACTGGTTCAGTAATACCCAGCTGTAAAATGGGTTATTGAATATGGTAGCAAGGCACTGTGTCCTATATAGGACTACCTGCTTTGCACATAGATCATGTGACCTGGAAATAACAGGTACCTCTAATTAGGCGGATGGCTTAGCAGAAATCTACTAGCAGTGCATCTACTGACAAAACCAGGCAATGCACAAAAATACACACTTAAATTAACCCTGCTGGGTTTTCTGTGTGAAGTGAGGATCACCTAGGAGGATTCGAGAACACAGAGGTTGACTCGGATCAGCAACACAGCCACCTAGACGTAAATTCACTCCACGGGGGCAGCGGAGAGCGGCGTGCTGAAGGAGGAGTCAGTCTAACAGCAGTTCAGAGCAAGTATGAGATTGGAACATCTGGACCGGAGCTGAGGGATTGTGATACGCTGACTGCTAGATGTTTTGCAATATGATAATTCATTGACATGTACGCCTCATTTGCCTTGTCGCATATCATACAGCTCCGGTAATGGCAGCTGGCCCAAAGCCAACATCTTGTTTGTCACGGCTACTAACTCTCACCCGACTCCCCATGTGACATGATGAGTGAGCCTGGGATCCGCACACGCATGCTGCTGGGAAGTCACAAGCCGGAAAAATCTGTCGTACTGATCCTGACATTATCTAAGCTGGCTGGTCATGCTTTGGCATCAAGGCTCTATGGCCAACTGTCACACAGTCATGCAGGCCCCGGTTGACATATCCAGCATGCACCATCCACGCTGAAATGACACTCACTGAAATAACACGATCTGAAATGACACTCACTGAAATAACACGATCTGAAATGACACTCACTGAAATAACAATATCTGAAATGCTACTCACAGAAATAACAGTCTACCCTGCGATGAACTGGCTGGGATCCCATCCTGCGTATCCCCTGTAATTCCTGGGACAGGTCCCAGACTCACTATCACCCTGTACAAGACAATCAATTACGAAAGACTTATGGATGAAATAGCATGAGCTGAAATGAGACTCACTGGAATAATATTTGACATGACCTGGTAAAACAAAAACCTGCCATTCCCAAAAAACTGGACCATTAACAATAGCTCAAAGCTAAAGGTCAATTTCTACACAGGCTGAAAAAGTTACTGTTATTTAATGTACAACATAATTCTAAGAGCCTTTGCCTCCCTTATTCAGAATGTCAGACATCTTGCAAATATTAATTTCAGTTGCATCTCAGATCCAAGACCAGTTATTGAACTGGATGTTCAATATTCTGGTAATAAAGTCTGCTTGCATGTGAAATATGCACTTTATATATGAACATGTCACATGCTGGCTGAAAAAGCTATATAAATTGATTAAATTAACCTAATTACTGCTGACATTTTTATAGCCCGTGTTTCCAATTACCTTGCTTTCCTGGAGGGCTGCAGTAGGATGTGTTAATGAACTTTTCCTGTGATATACAAATGCAGTCTGTATGCCCATTCGACAGTAATTGCCACACCGAGAAGTTATTACTCTTAGGATCGATAAGCATGAATTAATCAGAGAGGTTGTGTCTAAGTAAACCTGGACGGGGCTCTCCACACCATGACTCATCATCAGAGGTGGTGAATCCCCGTCCAGAGAGTACAAATCCAGACCAAGATTTTGTTTCAACCAACCGGTTGAGTCTAGAGTCACAATCACAGAGCACTCAACTGGTTGTTTGAAACAAAATCTCGGTCTGCATTTGTACTCTCTGGACCGGAAATCTCCACCTCTGCTCACCATGGCTTAGATAAAAGCATCTACAGTCCTCCGTTCCGCAAAACTCCACATCAACTGTTCGTCCACCATCAGCTTCCAAGGTGCAAACCCTGTAGGACACAAAGATGTCAATGTACCTGACGGTCACCCAACTTTCAGCATCACATAGTAACTGAATATGTAAGCTTTCAAAGTCCAGGATATTTCGTGTGACTACCAGCCCGGATGGACAAAGTTCTGGAACGGATCTGTGGGTGTCTGATTGGGATGCTCACATCACCCGTGGTTTCAGTGCCATGTGGGAGAGCCTTACGGACACCACAGAGCACACTACAGATATTATGTAAGCGTCAGCTGTGAAATATGTTGTTTACTTGTTGTTGAGTAATACAATTCAGATATGACATGACACTACAGACAGTGTAATCCTTACTAATACCAGATGAGCGGTGAGTTGTTGAAGGATCATACTAGGTATGGCAGTGGCTGCTGCTGGGTGACATCACATCAACCCTCACAAAGTCCACACACTACTCCTGGAAGTAGCTTAAAATATTAAAAAAGAGAGTTGATATCAGCTTCACGTGGTAATAGCAAAGAACTTTCTGGCAAAATGTAGAATGTATCTTCTGGTTAAGATTGTTAAAAGCATTCAACTCAAATTTAATCTTAAAGGTTTTTTCTTTCCATTAAACGTAGAAAATATTTATAGACTTACGTTTCAAGAAAGCTGTTGAATTACGTGTAAAATACCATTTTAGGTATACCCATCAGAAAGGCATGTTAAAAACCTGTATTCATCATATTGGACTGTAGAACACACATTCATCCATCTTTCAATCATCTATTCCATTGCAGGGTAGAGTGGCTGTTAAAATTATTCAATCAACATAAAATCTTTATTCATTTAATTTAATGATGGATTTTGGTGACAGATTTAACAATAAATAATTATCATCCTTGTTTTTTGTTCTCCCTTGTTAGCTGTTCCAATCCAGATTAAGAAATTCTGGAGTAAAAAAGTCTTTTTTGTGTTCTCAGCAAAGAAAAGGATACATTGTGTAATGCAAGATAATTTATTATGTAGAAAGTAATTCAAGAAGTTTGATGCTCTAAAGACATTTCTGCAGTTGTTTTGATACATTTACTAAATTGAATAATTTATTGAGTAAACTTACACTGTCACTTCTCATGCCTAAAAATATACATATATCCTTGTGGACAGACCAAGGTGAGGTGGATTCTTTAAATTTTTGTTTTCAGCATCGGTAAAAAGAGGTCGTGTTTAGCACCATCTTGTATACTGTGGAAAAAGCTGCTGCCTTCATTCTCAGCAGTGTTACACATCAAAGGAACCTGCAGCCTTTTGAAAAGCAATTTGATTTTCAAAGCATTTACTGCCTTCCACCCAGTGAAATAAAAATAGGGAAAAATAACGGGTGATGTACATTTGCTGCAGATGATGACGGACAGAACAGGCAACCAGCTGGTGTCAAATGAGCGTGTCGAGACTCCAACTTGAGTGTTAATTCTTTCTTTGTTAAAATGTCAGACGTTAACCAGACAACACCGATCCTCTTTCAGAATACAGAGTCAGTGTCAAATCAGAGTCAAACCAGAGTCAAATCAGATCAGAATCATCCCAAAACCAATCCAGAAGCGGCATTCCTATTCAGTCTAAAACAGACTGGCATCAGCATCCAAATAACAGTATTTTCAAGGTCAGAGTTAGCTAATAACAATATGCAAAATCAAAGTAAATGTGTGAACTGAATGGGACAGTTAACAGAGAACAGAGGTCTGCGCACTGCGGGGAAATGTATGAGTGGAGAGCGTAATCCTACAGGGGGTAGAGCGGGGGTTCCGGGCAGTGAGGGATTTTCTGGTTTGACGTGGAAGGGATAGACTGGAAACGAAACGTACTGGGAGTAAGTGGTTCTTGCTGTGCAATACGATTGCTGAAGGCATTCTGACACATTTCTGCACAATATGGGTTTGGCATATTGGAATCTTCCTGCGGGATGAAATATTAATGTTTATTTTACAGCGGAATTTAAGCAGCTGGGGAGGGAGTCTGTGAGGCAGATACTTGCACAACAGCTGGTGCCTCAACAAATTTCAGCAGGGGCACCAGTGACACCAATGTGCATTTTAAGCCCTTATAATAATGGAATCATGTAAAATCATTTTTCCTTTTTATTGCCCATCTTGAATAATGTATCCAAAAAGACAGTATTTTTCATTATCCATGCACATACTGCAATAAAAAGTCAATATAATCTTTTGGGATAGATTGATATCCTGTCTATGGTTAAGGGGTTTGTGGCCTTGCTCACACGCCTAACGGGGATGTGACTATTGTCGAGAACAGGGTACAAACCAGCAACCTTCTGATCACATGTGCAGAGGTCCAACAACCCGAGGCACACATCATCCTACATGTATAACTACAAGAGACAGGATATTTTTGTCTTTCACACCATACTGTGCAAATCCTACCCGATATACTACATGAAAATTTAAAGGAAGTGGATATAACGTTGAGCTTCAGTCACGTGAGTCACAGTTGGTAGGATCTTTTACATATATATTCCAGATGTCAATGCCGGGTCAGCGTGTAACTCCACGGTTAAGTTGAGTCTTATCCGCAGGCTCCTGATAAATCACACAAGTCTTACGCTATAGTTGTAACCGACACGATCCACCCGCACGCCATACGTTCGCACGAGCCGGTGACGTGTTCGCGCCCCAGCCAATCAGATGGAGCTGCGTGATTGTGATAAAGCGCTGGCGCTGTAGTTTCAGCACCACAGAGCGGACAGCCGCACGGAGCGCTAATCCCCAACCGGCAGGATTTATATGGAGCACATTTACGTTTTTTCTTTCCGTGATAAGTCAGCTTTATAAGCAGATAAACCATATAATTTAAGATAACTGGAAAATCTGCAGCTTGTAGACATTTGAAATATTCTAATAGAATCATCATTTCTAAATAAATTTCTACACCTCTAAGAAATCTCTTTTTGAGCTATTATTTGATTGTGGTAGTCTTAAACCCAATACTAGCTTTAATGCTTTCTTTAATTAAAGTCTAGAAGATATGATTTTTATGATCCCCTTAAATTTTATGCACGTTAAATAGAATCCGACAGATTTATAAAATACTTTATTTTCCACTCTAGTCATTGGTGCTTTTTCAGCTTTGTCTTGCATCAAGGACAGTCTACGCGTCGTCATGCATTATTTCTTAGCGGGGTTGCTTTGCTTTTACGCACTTGGCGATAGGAGACTTGTGCTCTCCCAAGACATCGCAGGGTCCCGTTTTGTTTGCACGGCAATCCCGGTCGGTGCGGATCCAAACTGCGCGGTGCCTCCCAGTACCATGCAGGGCACGAGTACCCAAGACGAACATCTTAGGGACACGGTAATGCAGCTCCGGGAGACGATCCTGCAGCAAAAAGAGACCATCGTCAACCAGCAAGGCTCCATCAAGGAACTGACTTCCAAACTTTCTCGTTGCGAGTCCGAAGCATCGCCTCAGGACGGGAGATCGAGAAGTCAGGGCTCCTGGAGGAAGGATTACAACAAGAACACCATGGGTGACCTTCCCCGGGACCCTGTCGAGACCATCGATCATCTGGGGAAGACGATGCAAAGTCTGAAAGCAAGGCTGGAGAACTTAGAGGTGAGATTTCAACGCTGAATTACACGCTGAACCAGAAACCGAACTGATTTTGGTCTCGGTATTCATAATTTAATGCATATACCCTTTAAGGACAACTCAAAATATAGCGTTATATTGCATTTTTAGTTTTGCGGTTTAACACCTAACTGTAAAAGCAATATACGATATGCAATATATCTTGTTTACAGTATACCAAGTATAGTGTATGTAACATTAGTTTCATGGTTTTTCTTTTTTAGTGTTTAGGTCTTAGGCAAAGCAGAACTCCCCTGCTCTGTGAAAAGTAAACTGCTCATGATTTTCTGATGAAATACGAGAGCAACAAATAAAAAATACATAACATTTGCCCTCTAAACTATTCTGCTTGCGATCCCCTAGCAATGTAACGCTGCAGTTACTTCGCATGCGATCAGTATTCTTGACACACTGTTGTAAAATAATACCCACATCGGAGTAAAATGTTTAATTTAAGGTTTTGTTTCTAAGTCATTTTCATAAATCTTATCTAAGAATTGTGATTAACAACATCCATCAGGTAATTCGTACATTTAAAATAGTGCATGTATGTACGTGCCTGTACATTGTGGTAGAAAACGGGTGCAGGCAACCTGCATGAATATGCTGTCTGAATTCACATGTGTAGGCTTGCTTTATGAATGTTTTCCGTCTGAACATACATAGGACCTGTATGAATGTGTTCTATATGAATATTTTTAATGAATATTTTTGTGTCACGCACCTGTATGAATGTGTTCTATATGAATATTTTTAATGAATATTTTTGTGTCACGCACCTGTATGAATGTGTTCTGCATTAATACTCTGTGTCAGCTACCTGTATGAATTTATTCTGTATGAATACTTGCATATGTCCAGTACCTGTATGAATGTGTTCTGTATGAATACTTGCCTGTGTCCGATACCTGTATGAATGTGTTCTGTATGAATACTTGTATGCATCCACTTCTTGTATAGATGTGCTCTGCCTGCATACATATTGGTTTTAACTGTAAAAATGTTTTTGCCACATGCATTCAGTGGCCATTTTATTGAAATCCTTACACAGTACCAGGCAAGACCCCCTTTTCGTACAAGAATCACTGTTCCTGTTAGCTTTCTCAAGTCGATACTCCTCTGACCTCTCTCATCAACAGCTGCCACTGACTGGACGTCTTTTGTTTGTCACAGCATTCTCTGCTACCTCTAGACACTATAGTATGTGAAAATCCCACAGAGGGTGGCTGTTTCTCAGATGCTGGAACCACCACGTCTGGCACCGATGGTCATACCACATTAAAAATAACATAGATCACACATCTTAACTATTTTAATGCTTACCCACACAGTAATCAAACTTCTTCACATTGTTTGCTTGCTGTATATATTCTGTTGCAGCCACATGACTTCTTGTATGCGTCAAGGAGCAGGTGTGCCTAATAAATTGGCCACTGAATGTACTCACTGAATGGGTCTATTTGATTGATCCATCCAGCTTCCACCTGCTTATCCTAGTAAGGGCCGCATGAGAGTTAATTTAATTACGTACCAATCCCATCTCAAAAGGGTTATATCTGCTGTGTTTTTTCCTTACAACTCATTACCTTTCCTAATAGTGAATAATATGTCATCGTCATGGTGACTTTGTCCCCTGTTTCTACCACTTGCTGTGACTGTAAGTTGGAGGCTGTTCTCTTAGTCATACTGCTTTCATACATTCGCTGTGCCCTCTGCTAAGGCTAGTTTCATGGCTCTTCCATGATTTGTAACTAAAATTATCACCAATAATATCAAATTGGGATTTAATGGGGCAGGTCAGAAATATTTTGCCCGTTACCTACCCGCCTCTCTAACCGCAGCCACTGTGACCCGTAGCTGCCACAACTGCTCAGATGCTGGTCCGGGAAAAACGGAATGATTCTGACTTTAGTTTTTCGCCACGCTACTGAGCTATTGTCAGTGTGTCCGTGTGTAGGAGGGAGAGAGAGGATCACACACTTCAGTCAGCAGAGCAGAAAGCCTGTCGTTGTCTGGGTACAAGATTCATTTATAAAATCAGACAATAGGCTTCACCAAAACGTCTTTTGACTGCATTATTTTCTGAAGGTCTCCCCCAAGGTAGAAACTGTCAGGAAGGGAAGTTTTGTATAAGCTTTAGCTGAAATGACATAACAAAGTGGGTCATTGGTCTAACCTGTTTTGCGTTATTGAGGAGAACAAGACTACAGTAAAATTCTATCGGTCTATGAATAACTCTGGCAGGATACATGCTAGGGTATGTGTTAGCGGGTGGCGATGCATGATTACTGCACCAGAGCATGTAATAGGTGGTTGTGATTGATTATTTTTTCATGAGCTATTCGGAAAGCGACGACTGATAACTGCTTTGCTCGACCTTCCAGCAGCAGCAGCAGGTGCGCATGAACATGTCCGGCGTGTCTGTCCCTAACGACCTCCGGGAGCTGCTGAAACAGAGGCTGGGCGACCTGGAGAAGCAACTTCTGACCAAGGTGGCCTCACTGGAGCAGGACAAGACGCAGCTATACAATGAGACGGCTGCCCACCGGCACCGTACAGAGGCTACTCTTAACTCCCTGCTGGAGCGCATTACTGAGCTGGAGAGGGGTAACATTACCGTCCGTCTGTGTTACACGCATACATTACTGAGCCGGAGAGGGGTAACATTACCGTCTGTCTGTGTTACACGCATACATTACTGAGCCGGAGAGGGGTAACATTACCGTCTGTCTGTGTTACACGCATACATTACTGAGCCGGAGAGGGGTAACATTACCGTCTGTCTGTGTTACACGCATACATTACTCTCTCTTTCTCAGAAATCTCTTCATTTACTCACAAAAAACAGAGCCTGTAATATCATCACAAATTTGAAAAACACCAAGTGAAGTTACCTAACACAGACATGGCTGCACAGAGAAGGATGGTGTGGGAACCTGCTTTGTAAATACCTGCCTCATTTCTACCTGCTTTGAAACACCTGCTTCACGAACATGCCGCCCGCTCCCTCATTCACGCCTCCTGTATACCTCCCCAGCACTGACTCAGGTTGCCCCGAGCGACAGCAGACACCGTCACGCCTGGGGCAAGTTTCACACTCTTGATTTTTTTTTTGTGCCAATTTACCTGCATCGCCAGACCCCATCCAAACCCCATCTCGTTGGAAGTCTAGTTTTCGGCAATCGGCAGTGCTTAGCCCACAGCTGTGAATAAAGAAAAAGTAGATATTTTATGAATGTCTGTTGCATGCTGCCTGTTGTGTGTGCATGGCTATGCCCTGGCCTGCTGTGTGGCTTGCAAAGCAGGAATAAATGCAAAATAGTTGTAAAATGCATGCAATATTATTATTCTTAGATTATCAGTACAGTATATGTGACACAACAGAAAATACCATAATCCCAATACAAAACTTTGTTTGATCTGAATTCCCATTAACAGGCTGGATCCTTATATTCCATTGTCTGAATGTTGACACGAGACTAAAATCTCTAGCTGTGGCTCAGTCAATAAGAATATTAATCAGTGAATTGAAAGGGATGTTTGTGAAGAATCACCTGTACAGCAGCTACCTGACACGTGTGATTTTAAGCATGTATGGGTTGAGAGAGCAGATGCCAGCGGACAATAAAGGCTGTTTGGTTGCCCGCAGGTAACTTCGGACTGAAATCCTCAGAGGATTTCAAGATCTCTCTCCCGCTGCGCACAAACTACCTGTACGGCCGCATCAAGAGCAGCTTGCCGGAGATGTACGCGTTCACCGTCTGCATGTGGCTCAAGTCGAGCTCCGGGCCTGGAATCGGGACCCCCTTCTCTTATGGGGTCCCGGGGCAGGCCAACGAGATAGTGCTTATCGAGTGGGGGAACAACCCCATAGAGCTGCTGGTGAACGACAAGGTGAGTGGTCCCTTGAACCGCCAGAAAACCTCAGGACAGTAACGCTCCTGCCATTCAGAGCGGCTCTGTCATTGTTCCTGTCCTAGTTTTTACATTTTTTTTTAAACTTGCTTACTTTTAGCTCTCCCTTTTTATAGAAGATCGTTTTAGTGGCGATATTGAGGTTAAGCAGCCTGATCAATGGTACTTGAGCAGCACGGGTCCTGCGGATCCTACCAGGAACCAAGTAATCCTGAGTTCTTGGTCACCGTGACAACTACTACAGCCTGAACTCATCTTATACTTCAATACTCTGGGACAGGACATGTGGAAAACATCTGAGGGTAGATTGGGGAACGTGAGGAGAACATCAGTAGGATGTGTTCTCAGCCCCTCACAGCAATAATGCGCCTCTCCTCACGACCCAGTATCCTTGATAGTTCATTATTTATAGTTTTTTATAATGTTAGCACCCAAGGCCAGTCCCACGTGACAGATTCGGTTTAGAAAAGCCACATAATGCGCTGTTTTAGATTAGGGGAACGTGTGAGATTGTTCCTTGAAGGGCCTGAATGCGGCCGTGCTGCGAGAGGTGATAATGGAGACCCTACCTGAGTCACAATGGGAGAAAGGGAGTAGCGTGTGATGTCCTGCCCAATGGGAGGCGTGGGACAGCTCTTCTGATTGGTCGACCCTTTAGTTACCGAGCCCATATGCAGCAGCGATGTCCTGCCCAGCGGGAGGCGTGGGACAGCTCTTCTGATTGGTCGACCCTTTAGTTACCGAGCCCATATGCAGTAGCATGCGATGTCCTGCCCAGCGGGAGGCGTGGGGCAGCTCTTCTGATTGGTCGACCCTTTAGTTAACGAGCCCATATGCAGCAGCGATGTCCGCTGGACGCTCTGGAAGATTATAATGACCCTAACACCCGCCGGCGGGCAAAATGAGGACGGGCTGAGTGGGCTTGAGGGAGCACGGATCCGGAAGGATCCGGCAGGATTCGGGAGGGTTGGAAAATTGCGCGCGTCATTATTTCCGCCCACAGGTGGCCCAGCTGCCCTTGTCCGTGAGCGATGGCCGCTGGCACCACGTGTGTGTCACCTGGACGACGAGAGACGGGCTGTGGGAGGCATACCAGGACGGCGAGAAGCTTGGCTCGGGGGAGAATTTGGCCCCCTGGCATCCAATTAAGCCAGGAGGAGTTATTATCCTGGGACAGGAGCAGGTGAGAGCTGCCACCTCTCTAAGCCTCACATAGGCGGAACGTATAAGCTGCTCTCACGCAAACATAGATCCTATTTCAGCCTCCTCCCCTTCTCATTCAGTACCCCCCCCCCCCCCCCCCCCCCCCCAGCCTCAGTGTCTCCCTGACACCTTCCCATTGAAGAACATGTCCCCATCTGAAGAGCGAATTTCCAAAACTCACTCACTAGGGATACGATTTCAAGAAAAATTTCAATGGACCTAACTGAGTCTTTTAAATTTAACGAAAGTTCGTCACTGGATTACGTGGCGATTGAGTGGGTTTTGGTTCCCGAAATATTAACATATGATGAGGAAGGACTTGACGTTATTGACAGCCTCATCTCAGAAATAACAAAAAAAAATAGTTTTAGGAAATTTGCTCTCCAGTCATCCTCAAGTCACTCTTGCTGTTGGAATCATAACGGAAACAGGTTGGTGGTAGGGTGTATCTGAGACTTGCTTTGCATGTGCCAGGATACCGTAGGCGGACGCTTCGATGCCACCCAGGCCTTTGTCGGGGAGCTGAGTCAATTCAACATGTGGGACCGCGTGTTGCGGCCGGCAGACATTATGGGAATAGCCAACTGCTCATCTTACATGCCGGGCAACATCGTGCCCTGGGTCAGCAGCAACGTGGAGGTCCTCGGCGGAGCCACCAAGGGACCCCTGGAGATATGTGAGGACCGTCTCTTTGACTCTTAGAGCTTTGGGGGCTTGGAGGGACGCCAAACCGACCTGACACCCTTCCCCCAGGCCCAGGCTGCACTGCACAAACCCCAAGTGTCTTCTGAGGAAAAAAAAATGTCCTTTTCTCAAGAAGAGCAAGTGGGAAGTGCTATGGTGCTCGTTCAATGCGCTTCAGTGATTGGTGCATCTTTGATGACGGGGTTCAGTGATTGGTACATCTCGTATTATGGGCTTCAGTGATTGGTGTGTCTGTCATGGGGGTGGGTCGGCTTGGTTTGGTTGGGGGTGTATATACAGAAGCATACATACACTTACAGTGTTTAACTACATGTGTGTCCTGCTGTCTTTTTTATTCTGGTTCTTTGCTACAATTTATGTCATGTGACTCATAAGTTCCACCCAAGCCAAGCATTGTACAATCATGAACTGATGTTCTGTTGTTTTATTATTATTATAAAATACAGGAATTTGAATGTCAACTGACGTTTCTGCTGATATTCTGAACAATTGCCCAAGGTCTAAAGTTATGAACTAATCAATGCTTGTTTGTGTTGAGTCTGTGAAGTGACAGGGAGTCATTCTGTCACTGAGCGAGTGGGTAGCTTCAGACACACCCACCCAGCTCAGCCAGAAGCTCCCTGCAGGCCTGTTCGGCAGGACAGGGGAAAACGCAAGGAAGTTCAGGATTTGTGTGAATTCAGCCCCTATGCAAGTGAGGCAAACTGGAACCAATCGGACGCTGAAATGAAGCAACATCCCAAGGAAACAATTACTGCGATGTATCTACTTTTACATTAGAAGTAGATATCGCCAGAGTCTACTATATATTTTAGGTTTTATACGCTTATTTTGACCCATTGTGCTTTAGAATAATATGGATGAGGAGAGAATGAATCTTTATGCCGGGGTCTCGAGGGCACGTACGACTCGGGTACGGCTCGGATACGGTTCGGGTACGGCTCGGATACGGTTCGGGTACGGTTCAGGTATGGCTCGGGTACAGTTCGGGTATGGCTCGGATACGGTTCGGGTACGGTTCAGGTATGGCTCGGGTACAGTTCGGGTATGGCTCGGATACGGTTCGGGTACGGTTCAGGTATGGCTCGGGTACAGTTCGGGTACGGCTCGGGTACAGTTCGGGTACGGCTCGGATACGGTTCGGGTACGGTTCAGGTATGGCTCGGGTACAGTTCGGGTACGGTTCGGGTACAGCTCGGTTCTCGGTGGTAGTGGAAAAGCGCCAGTAGAAACAGGAGTGACATTTTTCAGGTGCAGAGGAAGGTCTGTCTCCTTCACCCATACAAATCCCCTAGATCACGTGATAACTGGACAGTAATGTTTACATCGTCTGCGTGCTTAGTGCCAGATTTTATGAGCAGATCTTTGTGTCTATGTAATTTATATCAGTTTGTGCTGACTTCTGTCTTACACTGGTTCCCATCTGTGTTGCAGATATTTTTGTGCAACATATGGTAATTTTATGTTTGTGAAAATGTGATTATTTCTAGTTCAGCACTGAAAAAAAAGTTGCATATGTTGTGTTTGGGCAGCATTTGCGTTTGCTAAAAACCCATTAAAAAGAACACCTTAACGCTCATGAATTAAACTGGTCCGCATCCAGTCCCAGAAAGATTTAAACCAAAGAGAAGCATCCCTGTATTACAAAAGAACATTCCTTTGGCCAAGCCGGTGGCTGCAGGGTTGCTCAAAATACCATTTTTCCTTTGCTATTGTTGGCTTATGCATTCTGAATTAAATAAACGCTTAGAAACTTTTACAATTGCATCAGCTTCTCTTCCTACGTGATTTTTCTCTGCACTGCAGGCTTTAAAGCATGGAGCACTTTTCTATTGCCTTTTTTATATTCTGGCATCATTTATTTTTACAGTTTGTCTGTAGCATGTGACTAAAGAGGAAGCTCTGCTGACAGCCAGCGCCTCTAACATCATCCCCATGTAGGAAGTGACTTAATGGAATGAGACAGTGGAGGTAAACAAAGTGTAGAAACCGGTGTTTTTCACACCAGCAGAGCATGCAGGAGCACTTTCTCTGTCTGTACATTACAAAGTTTGCGTACAGTTTTTGTAACGTTTGCATTTGCTTTCATTAAAACTGGAAAATGTGCGTTCTCTGTTCACGGAAACTAAGCGTGAAGAGAAGAGGCGTATCCTGCGTTCCTCTGTGATCCCCTGCTGTAAGAGGACTTTAAGGCAGCGTTTTATATGGACACTGTATGGATTTCTGTGCTGCACCAAATGTGCTTTCAAAGATCAATGGTTCTGCAAACCACTCATTTTGCCAATGAGAGAAATTCATTGGTGAATGGGGATGACAGTCCACCATTGTTGCTGTTTGTTTGTGAGGATTGTTTTATTTTGTGAATTGTGCATGTTGATCCCTCAAACCCAATAAATAAACCTAAATTCCTAACACTGGAGAAATATAGTTTTATTTTCCTTCAGGGAAATAAAAGAGCATAAGAGATGTTTTTAAATGCTCTTTTGGTGGATGAAATAGTTTATTACAGATATTCCTCTGCCTTTAATTGTAACAATCAATATTTTAAATGTACATTATATGCACAGATTGACTTTAATATTGCATGAATAACCATATGAAAGTAGAGGGTCCTGAAAGATAGATATACATAGACGAGCACTGCACGACCTTAGCCAGGCCAGAGAGACGAGCACCGCACGACCTT